GTGGTTTATAGGTGAAGGGTAAGATTCTGAAAATTAGGTGACATATTATAAAGAAAATGTCAACACCACAGTGCTACAGTCACGCAAACTCATTGCTGCAAAGCCACCCTTGATACTCTGTGCCCTTCAGCTGTGCTAATAAAGATCTGAGTATGGAGTTAAGGTGGTTTGATCACAAACTTCCATCCATCTGCAAGACTGTATCCAAGTAAAGCGCCTAAATACAACTCATGGCTTGATTTTCCTGCAGGATGCATTTGTGTTATTAAGAGAGAAGACGTCTGTCCAGCTATAATGCAATTTCTGTACTAGCACCACAGTCTTCAGGGGGGAAAAAAAGCCACATGGTGTACACTGCTTTATTCAAAAAATTCCTACACGCCCTCTATTCTTAATGCTTTTTCCTAACATCTCACAATATATTTAGTCCAAGGAGGTTTGATTTTAAAAGCAGCTTCCTCAATACATCAAAATATGACCCAACTCAGGTATGTTTGCTAGGAGCTTTGTTTCCTACCACCCACGTCCAGAGTCTCCTGTTAAAAGGAGCCTGCAGCTAGAAAACAAAGTAGGATTCACTGGGGTCTAGACCCTGAGCCCACTTAAAGGCAATACAAAACATTTCACTAGTTTTATGGGACTCGGTATGAGACCTGTGGTTCACTGAAGACACCAGAGAACTTACAGAATGTATACAATATATTAAATAGTTCTTAGCACTAAAAAGGAATTTTGCAATCACTTTGAATGTTTCATTGGTATTTAGGATATTTTTGGAAAGAAAGCACGCTTCTTTTCTATGTGCGTATGTCGCCTTCCCCCAGCATTCCCCACAAAAAGGCAATGTTTTAAGACACTGAAAAAAATAATCATACATAAGCAGATTTGAAGCTTAAAGAATAAAAATCTCTTGTTTTATCATAGGCATACTGTTATAATTGCCATGCATGAGTTGGCATTCAAAGAAAACTCCTTTGTTAAAATTAATCACTGACTACTCAGCCAATTTGTCAGCTAACTACTACCACGCCTGGACATGATTAGTTAGCTTCACTGGGAGATAGAGGGTGCCCTCTATAATGCTTCCACAGGATCAAATCCTACACCCAGTAAAGCCTTTGAACATTTTGCAAGCAACTTATTCACATGGAGACAGGACCTCATGGATGCTGCTGTAGGCTCTACTTTTTTCTGCTTTCACAGACGAAGCCTTTCTAGGAGAGAAAGGCTTTGACAATAAACACACTCTTTCTCCAGCAGCACACAGAGCAATCACGGGTCCCTGGGCTGTGTTTGGAAACACTTAACTGGTGGGATCGGTCTGAGGAGAAGATGAGGCATGATGTATGAGGCTTCTGACAAGGGGGCTGGCTCTGCTCATCTAATTGCAGTTGCTGCTCCCACGATGTGGAAACCTGTCTATTAGAAACCACATTTCACAGGTGACTGAACAGCCGTCAGATGGTAACAGCTTTCATTTGTTACTGACCTCCCCTCCCTGACGCAGCGTAAGGGTGAGTGGCCCGATAGTCCATTGTCAGTCCAGAGCCAAACACCTCTTGCTTTGTACAGTGAATTATAAAATATCTGCATTTTTCAGCTTGTGTTGAAACAGTACTCTTAACTAGCATTTTCTCGTCTAGGCATCAGCATCATAAAAGAATGGCAAATTCTTCACTACTCAATTATTGCAAAGCTTGAGGGCATTTATGACTATGATTGTAGAGTACATCACTACATTTTTATATATAGTATAAAAATAAAACTCAGTACATCAGAGACTTACTCAGGTATTTACTCAGAACATCATGGACAGATGTGAATTGGTATTTCACAGAGACGGGATCAGAGCCTTTGCTGAGACACCGATATGCCCATATGACAATGATTAGACCGAAACCAGTCCTTCCAGTGATGGACAGAAAGACAACTCCGCTACCAAAATTACATACAGAACTTAGCACAGTTATTTTAAACAGGATCATATAAAGAGACCTCATCAAATTTTACACCCTCCAGACCTCTGGCTCCATCAATGACATAAAGGATTCAGAAACCACAGAACAAATCTCCCTATCTTGCTAAGCTCTCTGTATCTGGCTGGCCACATATTTTCCAGCCAGACAAATACATATCACAGGTGAAGAAGAGACTTTCCTTTCCAAAGGTAACAGCCATTTAGTTATTACAAAGATTTTGTGTTCATACCTCAGAGCACTCACAGCCATTTCACAACTAACACCGTAGTCTGGGATAGCATTGGACAATTTAATACAATAAACAGGGGACTGCACCAAAGCCATGGTGAATCCTGCTCTGATGACAACCGCAGAGCTATGCAATGACATTTAATTTACATTTAGATTTCTTAAGCACACCTTCCAGAAAGCACAGTGTGCTAACAGCTGTATGGCTGCATTTCCAATGAAATGTAACAGCAACCCAGGCCACCACACCTCACAGCTAAACTCTGTTTCACCTCCCTACTCCTCCAAGCCTCTGACCATCTTCAGCAGCATGGAAGAACTGGCCTCTCCAAAGTGACTGGTGTCAAAGAGGGCTTTGATGGTCTGTAGACCAACAAGGTCAGCCAGAGCATCTGTCTGGTGTGAGCTCCAAGGTCAAGGACCCTTATCAAGAACATTAGGAACAACTCCCTGATATTTAACTCTTCAAGAGTTTATCCTTCTGGAAAGAGACAATCTCTGAAAGATACATACAACAAACAAAATTATATTGGCATGCTTTGCCCTTGAGGCCAACTATTAAAGCACTGATTCTAGTTTATGTAAAATTTTCAGATCAGAAAACAAAAATCTGAATTTCTTTACAAGATTATTTTTAGAAGTGTTACAGATCAAGAAAATCAGTTTTCTATGGTTGCACCTTAGAAAAAACTGGATGTAAAATACAAAATGTTCACAAACCCAGTAATAAATATCAGAGGTTTTTACAGATATAATATGGTAGCTGTACTCAGCTTTTCACATGATCTTGCATTCTAAATATGTCACCATGAGTTCTACTAGAGGAAGACGGCATTTATTGTGAAATTAATATACATAATTAAGCATATGAAGAAGAGCTTGCTGAGTCTGAACTCTTTATTGTAAATCCTTTGTGGTGCTGATTTCATCCCATGCCACTCCTTTCACATGTTTAACATAATTTTCAATACATACAATGTCACTGGAAGAAATATTTTTAACTTCAATAACAATTTAAAAAACTTTCAAAAAATTATTACAACTTTCCCATTTGTGTCATGGATTGATTGATACCTAAATATGCATTAGAGAATTTTGAGGAAGCTCAAAACACATTAACATATTAATAGCATGCAGAAAAAATGCTCTGAACTACAACCAGCAAAATCAAAACACAACTGCTTTTAGTTATGCAAATGAAAATGTAGTGTCAGGACTGCAGAGAGCCTAAAAAGTGCAAAGTTCAGGAAAAAGCCATGTATGCAGCTGCTCCAAAAATAACCATAGTCAGATAAAAGTCTGAAAGCAATTATTTGGGGTGAATATTGTACACAGACCACTGCACTAAGCTTCTATAATTAAACAAGGCAAAAGTTCAGATGGCACCTAATAAGCCATTTACTACATTAATTATATTCAAGTGTGGCAGTCTAATGCTTGGTAATAACTAACAACAAGGGAAATAATTTAAAGAAACAATCTGATGTTGTAAATTTCTCTCTTTTTAATTCATCAGTACCAGTGTTGCCAGCCAGACTTTCTAACACACTTGAAACACATCAAAGGGATACTGCTTAGTGTCAGGAAGAGCTATTTAAGGGTTGTAAACCTTTAGGCTGAGGAAGCCAACAGCCTTACTCAACAAAAATGATCCCTTCACTACAAAAGTAGCGGTAAAGTCAGATTTTCCATTCCTTGAAGCAAGTCCATATGTCTTTGTTCCAAAGTTTCAATGCCACAGGAACAACCAATTTTTTTTTTTTTTTTTGCAGTAACAACAGCATCTTAGCAAACCTTTGCACATCAACAGATTTACCACTAGCCCTATTCCCTGGATTTGCCTTCACACTGATCACACAGCCCTTGTACACATCTGTGATTTTAATAATATTTTCAGCAAATTCTTAACAAGATAATTAATATTAGAGAGGTATTTAATGTATTTTGGCTTATTTTAATGCCATTAGTAGCTAAATACATGGGAAATGACCCTATACCATATGCCCAAATACTTCTCTGCAGACTGCTAGCCAATTCCCTAGCAAGTACAGAGAATTTTCCAAATCACAGTCTGAAAATTACTGCAGAGAGATTTGCATACTATTTCTGATGGGCCAGTAGCATTCCAACAACTCATTTAAAAGCCAGCATGCCCCAATAGTTTATGCAGTGAGCAACACACACAGCATCAATTCATAATGCAATTGTTAGGATGTTGTTCTACCTTATTTAACTAATCTGCAATTAAAAAAATACCCCAAAAAATTCTGTAGTATTACAGTTATTTTTAAATTTTGCTTTCTTGATTTTAAATCAGGAAATAAAATTGCCTGATTTTACTTATGCACAAGTCTGCATTTAATGTAAGAGGGCATATAACAACCAATTTGCAGATCCCAAAGAACAAGAGATCAGATGAACATACAACTTCATCCATGACGTCTTTCCAATATGACGTTTACACAAGCAACTCTAGCATCTCTTTAAGCTCCCTATGAAAAGTTGTTGTAACATTTTCCCTATTGTTTGGCCTTTCTTTTCTTGTCCTTGGTAGAAAACACATAACAAAACATAGATATAGAACTCTGTAACCTTGCAAGAAATGTCTAACTTTTTGTATACATCCTCCAACTCTGAATGTGCAGTGTGGACAATGCTGGGAAATCCTGTCATCTACCCAGATGAAATGTAGAACAGAAAAGGGTTCTCTGACTACAACACCAGGAGTTTTAGACATCCTGAATTCAATCAGAAAAGACTTCTGCCTACAAATAATTTGAAGTCTTCACTTACAAGATCTCAAATCCAGCACTTCCACAGCAAATGGCAAGAGGAGCCTGTCTCCTACAGCAGAGGTGTCCACAAAGTTGTCAGTTGCAGAAATCAGTGTTGAGTCCTTGGGTTTGAGTACACAGGGACAGGGACCTCACCTCCAGACCCTTTATCGCAGCTTCTCGTTCAGCAAATATAGCACATATTTTCCCAATAGTGCAGCAGTTGGTCTTAGCAAAATACACACAAAATTAGTAGGTATCCATGACAGGATTTTCATCAAATAGTATTTTAATCAGAAACTACCCATGAAATAATAATACTTCTAAACCATACTTGAGATTTACATAAAAAATAAAACCCCCTGTTTAAAAAAAAAACAAAAAAACAAAAAAACACACAACCAAAAAACTGCAAGAGCTCCATCTTTAAATGGAAAAAATGTGGCAAGTCTTTCCCCATCTCCTACAGCCCCACACTATGCAAACCAGTTGAATTATTTTCACCTGAGTTTTCCAAACAAGAGAAAGATATATATATATGTATTAAAATTACCTGGATGCAGACGCCACGCCTGGAAAGTTTCATTGCAAAAGGATAAAAGTTCAGAAAGTTTGCAAGACTGGAAAAGGAAAATCAAATTTAAAAACGTGCAAAACCTAGACCTTGAGGTTTGCCACTGCCTCCTGCCTTTCTCTTACCATTTCCCTCCACTTCTGAAATGAGAGGACTAAATGTTCCTTCAAGTTACCAACTAAATTACTTGATTGAGTAACCCAACCAATTTTTTTTTTTAGTACCAAAAGAAGCACATTGCCATAACAAAATAAACTAGAAACGGTAGTTAAGCATTAGAGACTATAACATTCCCGATAAATAATAAAACCAGACCACAGAAGTGATCCACACCGCTTAGCAGAGGTGAATTCACCGAGACTTTCTTTTTTCCTTTGAGAACATCGATTTTTATATGCTACCACAGCTGCCTAACTACTGATAAGAGCAATCTGCAAAAACAAATCTAGAACTAACAGAACAGCCTGGAAAAGCAACCACAAAAAAGGGTCTCATTTAAATTCCTGGAAAGCGCTGCTTCTCTAAACGTATCTATTCAAGCTCTCTTGAGCAGTCGAGCCCTTCTAAAACACACCCTGCACACTCCCCGCCCGAAAACTGTTAAGCCAAGAAGCCACTAAGCCATGCCACTGAGAACCCATATGGCTTCACCTACAGGGTTTTCCTTCCAGCAAACGCTGCACAGTAGAAATCCTCCCCTTCACCATCACCACCCATCTCCCAGTAACAAACGAAAAAAAAAAAACCAAAAAAACCCACCACAAACCAAACCCCGATTAATAATAAAAGAGAGAAGTGCTCTCCGCCCGGGGTGGCCCCTACGTACCGCTCAGGGCTCTCTGGGGGCCGTGCCCCCCGAGGTGCAGCAGCCGGGGCGGCGCGGGCGCTCCGCCTCGCCGCGTCCCACGCGGAGCCTCTCCCCCCGCATGGTGGTGGCCGCCGCACGCACAAAGCGCAGGGCGCGGGCAGCGGCCGGGGGCGGGCGGCACCGCGGCTCGGCCGGATCGCGGCGGCACGGGCGGCGCGGCTCGGCTCGGCTCGGCACGGCACCGCCCCCGGGAGCCGCCCCCCGCACACGGCCGAGCGCCCCCCGCGCTGCCGCCCGGCCCCTCCCGGGATGGGGGCGCCCCCGCCCCCGGTACCGCGCGGGCGGAGCCGGGCGCTACGGCGGCGGCGGGAGGAGGGGGCCGGGAGGACGTGCCGGGGTTGCCCCGGGGCCGTGCCGCGCTGTCCCGGCTCATTGTTCGGGAAGGGCAGCGGCGGGAGGGCGGGAGCTGCGGCGGGAGGGGGTCACCCCGGTGGCGGGGGTGCTGCCGGGCTTTCCTGCGCACGGGCAGGGGCTGGGGACAGCGCTGCATCTTCCCCGCCCGGGGGAAGCGCGTGTTGCCGGCGGCAGCGGGGTATCTTCCCCCTCGCCGGCGGGGACAGGGGGATGCTCGGGGATGGGGCGCTGGCGCTGCGCCTTCCCCTGGCGTGGCGTGGCGTGCTGGTGCCGCGCTGCACCTTCAGGGGTCTGCTGGAGAAGTTCAAAGCGGCAGGGAAGGGTGGGAGGGGCGCGGGCGAGGGGCCGGCAGCTTCCTCGCCTTGTCTCTGTGACCCCCGCCTGCCGAGCGCGGAGAGCCCCGGAGCGTTCCGGCACCGGCACTCCGGGGGCCGGCCGGGGACGCGGGGGGTCTCCGTGACCCGTCCGGCAAGTTGAAGGCAGGGTCCTTTCCTCAGCCTCCCCCGTGAGCCGAGGCGGTGGGATTCCCACTCTCTGGCGGTGTGGAAGCGCCGCAGCCGGCTTTGGCTCTTTAAGATTAGGCTCCGTTAATTAAAGAAATATTTTAAGCTTAAAGGTCTCCTGAGAAGAAACACATTAACTCGCTAATAAAGCAGGTAGAAAAACAATGCGAAGCTGGGCTGTTGGATCAGCGATCACAAAGGAAAGGAGAGATCAGAGATGCTACTGGAGAGCGGTAAATGCGCCCTCCCGCCGCCGGACCCACACAGCACCGATCGCTCCGCTGGGACTTCAGTGCCTGTCCAGCGGCACAGGAAAAGGGAAATGTTTTCCCTGCAGTCGTTGGTGTGCTTTCTCAGCTTGCTGAAAGGCTAGAAATACCTTAAAGCATCTTTTACTTTTAGTTCAAATTTAATAGTAGTTTACTTCGCAAATAGTCTAAGTCGTCACTTATAAATAATTAGGATAATGACAGATAACCTTTTTTTTTGTGCCGAGTCTGTGCTCCAAGATAAGAATCTGTGTAAATGCATCTGAGACTGAAGCTTCTTTGTGCCCGTATTTGTAAGGTGTAAGCTGATCGGAGCAGTGTGCCTGCAAAAGGCACGCCTTCTAAGCTGTGATACGAGTGTCGAAATAAAAGCCATAAGAACTAAAGGAAAAACGGTGCCATTTCCTAAATTAAGAGGCAGCCTCATAAGGATGTGAAAGGCAAAGCACAGGAACAGGTTAACAGGTTAAAAACTATGGTTGTTTGAAATTATAACACAATTGAAAAGGCAAATAATGTTTCTAAATTCTAGGTAAATTAATTTGTTCTATTTTGAGGAATTTCATGAATAGCAAAGCAATTAATGAATAAAAATATAATATTTTCCCCCCGTCTAGGACATTCTGAAAACAAATTTCAAACCTAGAGCTAATTTCTTAAAAAATAAAAAATCCTTGTTTATCAATTGCTAGGAGAGGTTGTCTTACATACATAAAGACAGCAAAAATTCTATTCAGGGACACTGTGATGTAGATATATCCACAAACTATTTTTGGGGAACAGTGCTGCTTGAGGAATAGTCCTGTATAGCATTAATTAAAAAATCTAAATTTATAAAGATAGTTAACAGTTAAGGGATGGATATTTCCCCAGTAATTTTATTGTTTTGCCCAGACTTGCTGCATCTGTCTACAAAATGATATTACATTGCATGCTGGCTCATGGAATAAACTATAAGCACATGTTTCAAGAAACAAAGTGAAAGGTGGAATACTGCTTTACTCAATTTTTTAAAATTATATAATTAAAGTAGGAATCTAAATCTGTACAACTCTACAGACATATCCATCTGTTACTATTTTAAAATGCACCATTCTTTGGTATGCTCATTTTAATATGCTAGTGAAATAGAACTTCAATTTGGAATAGAATGTAAATGAATAGCATAAATTAGGTGAGTATTTCAGGGAAGCTGGTAAAGCTAAGAGAGCCTATGTGGGAATCTGAGATAGTTTAAACACAGTATCAGGAATTCTTGTTTCCTGAAGACTTCCCTTTTTTTCAGCAAAGCACTTATAGAATGGGCAGTTGGATTGGTGACAAATAATGCTGAATAAGCATAATTTTTATTGACTGCAGCGGGACTCTCCCCTATGCATCTAAATGTAAAATTTATCTGCAGAAGGCAGAAAGAGTTATTCCGCAATCCAATAAGGTTTGCTTCAGCCTTTGACATTTTGCTTTTGGCTTAGACTCTGAACTCCAAAATGGAAGAACTCTGCATCCTGTGTATTTCTGATCATTGGCTTGATTCTACCTTCAATTTCAGCAGAGTAATAAAGAACAGCTTCTCTGGAAGCCAGAAGGTGAATTGGGATAAAGTCTGTGAGATCAGCATCAGGTCTCCATGATGTGGGAGCTGCCTGGGGAAGGATTTTAGATCAGAGGACGTGGTAATAGCTGAAAGTCCAGAACGGTAAAGAATTTACTTTCACATGTTTGCAGCTTGAAGAATTTGTCTTTTATATAAATTGATAGCAATAGGGCAAAGTTACACACAGTTGCTGTTGCTTTGTTATTGAGTTTGACGACTGCTACAAATGTATCCATCACTTTGGTTTGTTACTGTGTTAAAGCAGTGCATATAAATAAAGGGGATAAATAACCTAATTTACTATGAGCAGGAGTCACAGTATATTAAAAACAATAGCACAGAGAAAGCTTTTGCCTCTCCTGGAAAAAGTTTTATAACAGATCTTTGTAGTCATCATTTAAACTGGCAGGTACAGTACACAAATATCTTTAAAGCCCAGGCACAAACTTATTTAACCTTTTCAGAACATATTCTTAGCTGAAATGACTCCACTGATGGAAAAGGGAATTTTTCTCTTGGCTCTACCAAAACTGAGTTTCACCCAAGTAACTGCAATTTTTTTTCAGAACTTTTTTTGGTTTTGAACAAATAACTGCTATTAAGGTTACATAAATGAGTAAGCTCCGGGTGTCCACACATTGTGCACCTCCCACTTCTCATGGTTCCTTGAGGTATTTTTTGGTCATCACTTTCAAAGAGGACTTGTTAGGTGGGCTCCCACTGCCTTTCTGCAAACCCTCAAATATCTTGGGGAAGTGCACTTTCCCTCCTTGGGGTGGGAAAGAAGAAACATGCTTCAGACTGGTCCCTTTAGCAATGGGTTGGTGAATCTCCAGCAGTGCTGCCTCTGGGTAAGGCTCTTTTGGCCTGGCATTTGTGTCCTGCTGCACCAGGAGGCACCTGCAGTTATCACACATCATGATTTTTGTTAGCGCAGACCTGAATTTGGTTTTTAGTCATCAAGCAGGTTTTTAATAAGCTGAAGATACTGTTGTTGGCTTCTGCACACATCAGATGCATTTCAGTGTTGCAGTTGTTCAGTTGCCTATGTGGATTTAGAATTGGAACATACAGACCTCAATTAACAGCTCTCCCTTAGGAGAGAGAGTGGCCTGGTTTCTTTTTCTCATATCATCTCATGGCAGATGATTGACAGAATTGCCTCCTCTCCCAAGCAAGCTGTTTCTCTGCCCTTGAGAAACATCGTGACAAAATTCTCCCTGACTCAGTGGCGAGGTGGTTTCATTTCAGAGGTGTATGCACACTTGGCCGTGCTCACAAGGCTTGTTTCATCCTTGCTGATGGATGTCTGCACTAAGTTACATCCTTGCTCTGTGTGTGCACAAAGTTTTTCTAAGGAGTCTTTTTGCTTTCATGCAGTTGGCAGGGGAAAAAAAGAAGGGAAAAGTATTTGCCAGCATGGCATAGATGATGTCAGGAAGAATTCTGTGTGTATCCTGTTGCATGTGTGCCTGAAGCGCCAACCCAGTGGCTGGCTAATGTTCTTTGTGTCTGGGCAAGGTGCTGTAGGAAGCAGAGTGCATTACAAATCCAGAGCCTGGCCACCAAGTGTGACATACACCATCTCTGAAGCAGCCCTGGGACTCAAAGTTGTAATGGACACAATTTCTTTCTTGTTTTCCCTGGTCTTGAAGGAAAATGCTAACTTACTGCTGACCTGACCTGTATTAATAAGTAATTCTTATCCTTCATTAGTGGCTCAGATGTGGAAGCCAATAAGCAGAGTCAGAGCCTATTCTTTGCTTTCCTCTCCCTCATATTTGCCTTAGGGAGGAAACATGGACTTCCATGAACTTTTAACAGCACTAGGGTCACCTACTCCATTTACACAGTTTTACATGCAAGTCACTCTCTGACCTCTCCTCATCAAGTCAGTTTCATAAGAAAGTAAAAAGCTGAAATGCAAAGACAAAGGTACCTGAGCTACCTTCAGCTTGGGGTTTTTTTGCTAGATGTCACATTATTACAGAAGTCATCCCCAAGCTGTGAAAAAGGGTGTACTTCAGCTGCATTTGTAAAACAAGTGTGTAACAGGGCTGGGACTTCAAAGTCAGAAGAGCCAGCAGCTCCCTGCTGCTGCCTCTGGTGCTCTGTCCCACTGACCTCAGCAGTCAGCCTCCAGTGTTTTCATGGCACTGAACAAGCATTATAGGCATAGTCACACAGTTAAAATCACAAATGTCATAAATCTCAGTTTGTCATGTTAACAAGATCACAAATCCTGTACAAGCAAAAGACTAGCAGCATCCTAAAGACATGGGCAGTAAAATGTTTGCAAAACCTGACTTCTTTGATGAACTTGAAGAATGTTCTCATCCAATTTTCTGCTGAAGCACAGGAACTTTCTGTCCATTTTCCCCACTGTTATTTATTACTATTGGCAGCACCCATTGCATACTATGTGCCTTGACTCCTTGTCAAC